AGAAATGTTGCTAGTAAATGTAATGTCATGCATAAGGGTTGGTTGGTTGGAAGGATGTCTTTATTATCTGTTGATTTTAGTATTTCTTGAAGGTTGTCCATTTACTTTCAGCCATTGCTAGCATAATGAATAATGATGGCAATCCAAATTCTTCAGTCATGCTATTTACATGCATGCAATAATTTTTCATGGAAGTAGGAGTTGCCAGTTCAAATAAAAGAGGGTAAAGTGGCTGTCTTTGTTTCATCAATTATGTAATTTCCTGTATATAGACTTTGAGTAATTAACTCAGTTATTGTTGGGGGCTTGTATATGGCATCTGACTGTTTTTTTCGTCATATGTGTTGTGTATTTTGATGGGTTCATTTTTTATCTAACTGCAAATATGACCACAATGGTCAGTACAGATGTAATCAAAATCTCAAGTCAACATGTAGTAATTTGTGTTTAATATATTTCTGTATGCAGGAGTGATTAGATTAGTTTCATCATCAGTGGATTTATTTTTCATATGTTCATAGAAGTGGCCATGGCTGTCAGGGAAAAGGTCAGGAAATAGAAGTGGTGCAAGTTCAGGGTTGTTAAATGATAGTGGTATGCCTTTTTGAGCTGGGAGAATCTTGACTGTTGTATCTCAGTTCGTCCAGAACTCAGTTGTCTCGGTCCAGAACTCAGACATTTTAGTTGTCTCAGTCCAGAACTCAGTCATCTCAGTCCAGAACTGAGAAGGTCCCGAACTGAGGTATAACATTGTATTGATCTGTCTCATCAGTGATTATTGTTGATGACATCTTTGCCGGAGATACTTCGTGTATTGTCGTTTTTTTACTATTTGTCGTTGCAATGTTTTTGTTTCCGTATGGGCAGCTAAGGCCCTTCGGCTGACTGGTGATTTTGTACCCTCAGTTTTAACGGTTGCTGACCAAGGATTGTTAATTATATTATTGTCACCAAATTTTGTTTCTATGAAAGAAAAGTCGAGAGCATCACAATATAAGCTTTTTTCGTGAATTGTTAGAATGCCTGTAACTGGACGGTGGCATTTTTTTGCGCCGCTGTTATAGATTTTGCCAGCTTTCCATTGGATGGATGCGTTATAACAATTTCGTTGATTGATCTTTCTCTGAGATATTCTGTTATGCATACTCTTGTGAAACTAAGGGTGACGCAGGACAATCGGATATCGTGATAGGTAATTTGACATGAGAATGATTATCATGTCAAGGGAATCTTCGTTGATTAATAGGTAAGTAAACGGTTTCTAACTGCAGTGTATTACCGATTGAAGAATCGCTTTTTTCAGATTCTTCCACTTCTTCTTGTTGTACAAAGTAAATAAATCGTATTGCTTGTATATGATTTTCAGTAAGCGAGACCTTTTTGTAAGTGTATTCATTATTGATTCTATTGTTTGTTGAGCAATATACGTGACTAAGGAAATGGAGGCAGGCATTGTCGAGAATTTTTTGGAGAGAGAAAGAATTTAGAAGGTAAAGATATGCCAAAATAATTAATAAAAAGCGAGGAAAATATTGACATGATTTGAACTGGTTTCTTGTTTTATATCTTTTCTTGTTTGTGAATGTAGGGATAAAGTGATGAATAGATGTTGTCACTAAATATATACGTAGATTTTTTTTGTTTAATTTAAAAAAGAAATAAAGCAAATATTAGATATTAATATGTGACGTTGTAAATGCATTTTTCTTTATCAAGAACAAAGATTTTGTTTCCATTTATTCAGCATTGCGTAATATTTTAATCAGGTGACGACGATACGCAAATGAGTATATAACTATGATTGTTGAATGAAGATAAATTAATGTTTTGCTTTAAAGGAAACATTCTAAGTTCAACTTTAACAACATTGTTTAGTTTCATGCCATGCTAAACAAATACGGACATATGATATAATAATGCAATATCAAATAAACATTGTGACATGTTTTTTGAACTTTGCACCACCAAAGGTGGTGATCAAATAGGACAACAAACACTCTTAGTCTGTGTGTGACCATTCGTATTTCAGTTGGGAATTTATGTCCATTCCGAATGGACATACGTGGGGGAGCTGAAAAGTTTTGCGCGTGGACGTTCATTTCCAGAACTGTTGTAATAATTATGAATACAACTACTTCATTCCTTCAAAATACTCTCCATTAAACTCTATACAACGTTCTAGCCGATTCCGCCAACTCTGGAAAGAGTTCTCATAGTCCTCTTTTGGGATACCTTCAACAACTGCCTGAACAGCCCTTGCCAAGTTTTCGACCTTATCAAATATCTTTCTCTTTAGTTCTTTTTTTATTCGAGGGAATAAGAAAAAAAAATATATTACAAGGAGCAAGGTCTGGATTGTATGGTGGGTGGGAAAAAAGTTCCACTCGTTTGTTACAAAGATATTCCGTTACGACTTCTTGCCTTATGTGCTGCGCCATTATCGTGATGAAGCATGACGTCATGAACAGTCGTCCTACCCCTTTTTTCCATAAAGTTCGAAAAACTTTTGGTAGTATCTCGTTGGCATAAAGTTAGCGTTAACTGTTTGTTCTTTTGGAACCACAAATCGTGTAATAACTCCGTCTACAGAAAAAATATGCAAAACAATATTTTTTTTTCGAATTTTGAGCCGTCTTCACTATTTGTGGCCTATTTCTAGCCATGACTTATTCACCAGTAATAATATTTTTGTACCTTCCGTCTAAAATTTTTAATAGTTGCTTGGAAAGTTCGACACGATTTCCCCTGAAAGCCTATGGGGAACCCATTTTGCGCAGAGTTTGTGGAGATTCAGCTTTTCATGCAAAATGTAAGAAATTCTTTCACGGGAAATACCGGCTTCGTTAGTTAATTCTTTAATAAAATATGCGAGTCATTGCGAGTCATTGCTAACAACATCCTCGACCCTGGCAATTTTTTCTGACGTCACTGCTTCGCGAGGACGTCCAGAACGGGCCTTGCCTTTAATTTTTTCTTCCTCGCCTTTGAATGTAGCAATCCAGCGTCTAATTGTGCTGATAGACAATGCTTGTTCCCCTTCTACGTTCACCAACTCGCCATTTTTCCAAGAAGAGAAAATAAAGTATCGTTGATTTTCACGGCTCATTCCTTCCAGTTGTTTTACTATGCTTTGCAAAAAAATTGGGTTCTCGACAATGAGATAATGAATTTGCTTCTACTTTTTTTTCATTTGTTACATGAAAGCATGCGCATTTGATGATTATTCCCAATTTTAGTTAAACTGATGCAATCTCGAGTTAGAGTCACACGCAGAACTTTTCAGCCCCCCCACGTATGTCAGATTGGAATAGTAAAGACAATCAGGTAACAACACTATAAAAGTATTTTATTGACATTACGATATCAACCTGTTATAAATATATGTTATTTAACGTCTGTAAATTTTAGCATAAAGAATAAATAATCTATATAAGCGCAAATAACTTGTGGTATTACTACTTGTATTACGTCTTCATTATACTGTTTGTATACGCTTGAATCTTACCTCGTAACCCATACTTCATAATGGTTTATTACTGTCATATGTAATCGTATCACAATGTAAACTCCGTCTAATCCCCAAAAACCGCACTCACGTACGTAAAATTTTGAAAATTTCAGAATGTTTAGTCAAAAACATTGCATGTATCACTTTCATAAGAAGAATCGTATAACACATCTGATCGAATAACGTTTATTCTTATTTACAAAAAACTGCACAATGTCGAAGAAAGATTATGAGGAATAGTATGAATTCTGCAGATTACCTTCAACCACTCACAGAAAGATTCATTCAATGATTGTCATTGAAACATTCGATAAAGCGTCGTACGTATATAGTGTTGACTAATTCTAAACATTGATCGTAAGCCATATATTGGATCAAATTATTCGACAAAGTGTGCACATACAGTCAGAAACCATAAGTCGTATGTTTGAGTCAGTCGACAAAAACTACACATAGAATAAGTCAAATTGTATAATAAGTGCAAACTTATTTGATAATCCATCAGGCGATAAACAATGGCGACGGTGAACAGTACACTGCTGTCCTATCATTCCGTTTATCGCTTAAATCAAATCCTCTATAAGGCCAAGGAAAAAGATGGTAGTCCTTCGAAACTTCTCAACCACACTAGTTATTTTGAGTTCACTAAATCGAAAGCTTGATGTCTCAGATCTGTTAATTTCACACGATCCGCCCGTATTTAAACCAAATCTGGTTGATAAGTTGGCTGGTAGCTGTATGTCGCACCACCTTAAGCTTAAACCCAGATGGTTAAGTGAGTGAATTTTGCATCCCTCATGAATGGGAAAATTTTAGATATGCTATTCTACGTGTATTCTATAGTACTATACTATATAAGAACATCATCAGCTCATTAACCAAATTTTAGTATAACAATCCAATGAATGGACTCCGATGAAGCTTCGGAGAATCACATGAGGCTGGATGGCAGTAAAGCAAAATAAACAAAGTTGTACAATATTTTTGTGTAAATTTTAACCCAATGACATACATGCACATATGCATTAATTAATGTGACAGATTAAAACGTAAACGAAATCGAATTAAAATGAAGATTTAAAATTTTTTGGGGACGCTTTTTTTTGGATTTGGGATAAAGTTTCGGGTAATTTTATTAATAAAAGAGTATGGGTTTCCGAGGCATTAAAAGCAGATCCAAGAAGACCCCAAATTTCATTTTTATTTTATTCACACGATACAGTAAACAACATTGATAAATATTATGTCACAACATGAAATAATATAAAAGGTGCAATCAATCGCAATCTTTAATTATGCTCACAACATACACTATAATAATCTTTAAGATTGTTGACAATTTGTTCGACGGAGAAAGAAACTACTACGAACGCTTAAAATTCAAACAATTCCCTCCTGTCAAACTTGAGACACTGTCCAACTTTACTAATACTTCCCCTCAACACATTATATTCACCACAGACCTGACAATTCTCTGTTGAAAGTAACAGTAATGGGTAACGCACTTACAATCGTCATAGCAGCTATTATCGCAGCCGTTACTGCTCCTCCAGAGCGACAGAACCGTACGGTCGAAGTGATCCAAACCGAGTTGGATGGCCTTAAAAGAGATTTGAAAAAGGTGCAAGATGCCTGGCACCAAGGCATTCCTCCAGAGATAAGGTCAACCAGAGAGCAATATGAAAAGGCCAAGTCTATGCTTAAAGACCTAGCAACTCTTTTTACCATTTTGCTGTAGCTGGATATACCGGTACTGGGAAATCTTCTTTAATTAACGCTCTCCGAGGTTCTGAAGACAATTTTGATGGTGCGGCTAAAGTTGGCATCGTTGAGACAACTATGGATATAAAGAGATATCCGGATAAAAGCTCAGTATTCAAGCACTTTGTCTGGTACGATATTCCGGGTGCTGGCACACCAAAAAATAGATGGTGGCAATATTTTAATGATAAAGGGCTTTATATTTTCGACTTTATTATTGTATGTTGGAAAGACCGAGTCTCGGAGACCGATATACAAATCCTCAAATCATGTGAAAAGTTTGATATACCTACCTTCCTTGTTCGGACAGATTCCGAAACACAAATCCGTAACCTAAAACAAACGAGAAGATAAAAACAACGACAGAAGCAATCGAAAGGCTTAGCAAATTGACACGCGAAACTGTCAGAAAAAATCTCGAAGCCGGCAATTATAATGATTTGAATAAAAAGGTTTATAACATCGATAGATATATCTTGGGAAAAATTGTTTCAGATTTTACAGAGAAAAAAGATATTTCTAAAATAGAAAATGTAGAAGACGCAATCGACGAAGGAGAACTTTTAGTGGATTTGCTTAAAACAGCTAAAGAGCGTCGTTGTAAAGATATTTAGGAATTGATAGTAATGTTTCTTAATCTTTTACAATAAATCTACAGTATATTCACAGTTAATCCCAAAAAGTCCAAAAAAGATATATTGTTATGCTGATATCTACGGGAATCCTCTAATTTACCGAATATCTTTTTAAAATGTTTGCGCTCGGCCATTCAGATATGCATGGAGCACTCTTTATGCACGAGAAAATTCAATACCCGCCTCAAAGAATATTATCTGCTTCGCAGAGCGCTCTGCACCTAGAAAATCAACACAGTCGGTTAGTTCATACAGCCCGAGTTTTTGAGTGGTACCACAAAAAATTAACCAAGGCGGAGAAATATGCTAAAAAGCGTGGAGGAAATGTCTTAGCAAAACCTGCGATCTTCTACTCTACATCCGCCATACATTAGTAGAAAAGGGTTATTTATTGCGGAGCAAAGGCACTAGCGTGCTTCAAACATAAATATTAAATAATTTTTGCCAAAAATAATAACGTTTGTTATTTGCAATAAAATGTCACATAATAAACTCCATCCACCACTTGCTTTACCTGAAATACTAACCAAAATTTTTGCATACCTCGCTGCGATAAAACACTATGTCCAACGCAACGTTATTCGTCAATCGATTGTGGTATATGTTTATTCCGCTCCTATATTATGGAAAAAAAAAATGGACTCTATTCGATGGAAAAATTTTAAAGTAGTAATACTGTATATATGCAAAAACCTCTTTATATTTCGAACTTAGTTGATCTCTGTATCTCTGGTTGCAAATATCTGACGGTACCTTATATCAAATTAGAGAGCAATGTCCAACTTGCAGTTTTTAGTTATAGCCTGTTGTTATGGATTTTCCACTGAAATGATTGGGGAAATTGTACATTCGAACTTAGTACACCTCAGATTATACAAAAATGGAACAAAGAAACATGAGCGTTACCAGAATATCAATGATAAAACTATCTGTGAGATTGTATCATCATGTCCGAATTTGGTTCATCTATATATAGGTTTTAGTAGTAAATTACAGACATATCGATAATTCAAATTGCAAAAAAACAGAATATATTAATGTAGGTGGTCCCGGAATTACTGATATATCACTAAAAAAATTGCTTCATTCCTGCTAAAACTCCAGCATCTTTATTAATCGACTGTGAATATATAGGTGATAGCGGAATATGTGAAATCGCAAGTTTACATCCAAATTTACTTAGCTTTTTTTTCGGGGATAAAGGTGCGAATTTGATGGAAGTGTTTCTGGAATTAGTGATCTTTGTATAAAAAAAAATTGCTGAATCGTGTTTCCAACTCCAATATCTTAATATTTCTGAACGGGAATATATATAACTGATGTGTCTATTTGTGCATTAGTTCAATCGTGTCCTACTTTAAAAGAACTTATTTTTAGAGGATGTAATATTACCGACATATTTATTAATGATATTATAAATTCTTGTCGTAATCTTCGCAAGCTCGATATCGAATTTTGTGAACAGATTTCAGGAAATGTAAAACCGTGGCTATAAAAAGAACCAATCCCAAAATTAAACTCTAGCCTTGGCTCTATTCTCGAATTTTATTATCAACCGCAAATTATATGGGAACATTAAAGCTTTGCTTCTTCCGTAAGCGAGTGGTACCACAGGCTTTACTTCGCAAATAACAATAATTTATAAAATCAATTATATACTTCTCGATAGAATAACTTTATTATTTATCTTAACACTCATTCGAACTCTCAGTGCCAAACTCGTATAAAAAGCAAAAAGCTTGATAAGTGCGAAATGTTCGTTTATCACATTGACGAATGTAAGAACGCAGAGAGATTTAACTGTCTCAATTCAACACCCCAATGGCCTTTCAATTTATTGATCAGTGGACGAACTAAATCGGAAAAAACAAATATAATCGTCAATCTTTTACTTGGGAATAAAATGTTTAATGGAAAACAAGACGGGACGCGTTATATAAAGAATAGCGATTTGGTTTTGATTGGACATCATCTTAAGGAACCCAAATATCGCCACTTGAGGGATTGTTACCAAATCATTGCGAATAGTCCAAAGCCGTATCGCGAAAATGTTACGTTCCGACCGATGAAGCCTGACAAAATACCAAAGATTGATGAATTTTCTCCCGAAAGAGGGATGGTGGTCATATTCGAAGACCTATGTACTGTGCCTAAAAATACAAGAAAAATTATCACAGAAGGTCGCCACTCTAATCTACGTAACTCAAAGTTTTTTCGACTGTCCAAAATTAATAAGAAAAAATCTGGATTATATTGTACTCTTTAACATACGATGAATTGGTTGATATTGTTAGGCGGTATACAAAAAATGGCGTAACGCTGTTGATATAATCGATAAGAATTTGCAAGGTCGGCAGTTTATTGTGATTGACTTGACTAGAGCGAAAAAGGATCCTTCCTATGTTCGTTTGGGTTGGGACCATGCTTTGAAATTAGAGGAATAGAACAAGACATGAAGATTATTAAATTATATATATTAATATGTAAATATTCCTCCTGATTACACGTAAAGCGCACGTTCTTCATACGTAAAACTTTTGTAAAACTGGATTATCTCACTCTCGAAGTATTATTATGGTATTCTGACATTACTTAAGCGAGAGCATCTGCGATTGCTTGCAACGCATTTCTTCGCGAACAGTCCATAACAGTTTGTAATGCTTAGCCAATTAAACTGTTGGGATGATACATAAATTCTATGTATTTACGTTGAATAAAGGACACATCAGGCTCCATCTTTTTCTGCCGTACGGCGCCGACTTCCCTTATTCGTTAAAGTCTTCTAATAGCATTTGACATACATATAATAGTGCAAGGCACGCATATCGTCAAATGTACGATCAGATTCGGGTTAATGATTAATTTCCATACTTAAGTTCTACTATAAAGGCGGGTTAGAAAATATAAATATTTCATATCATATTCAGGATGGGTATTAATAGTAAACTGGAGGTGTGTAAATCATGAAAATTTCAAAGTGGTCAGAGACTTAAGTACCCACTGTATAACAATAAAATATTGGTCATGTGTCTACAACTTACATGATGATAATATTTAAAGTTGTATAAACAAAGATTTTATAATTTGAAAATTCAATCACTTACAAACTACAGTATATCAACAGATCACATAGCAATAACTTGCATATCAGTAACTAATTGGTACACACAATTACCTGCTGCCAAAAATTTGTTATTTGAAAGCACAAACAACTTATTAAACACACACAAATTTATCAAAATATCTTGCCACTCTGTTCA